CTGGTCTCAGTGAGTGGCTGAATGGTATACGAGCTAGCCTGCCTTGTAACCGGAAGGTCCTGAGTTCGAACCCGATTGGGTACGTACTGCTAATGATTCTCAAACTAGGATGAAACAGTCGGCTATCCAGTACTCCCTGGTTCTCAATGATTCTCTAACCGATATCAACCCGTGGTCAAACTCATAAAAACAAATCTATTCCTTACAAACCAACTTTTGAAGATACACCCCTGAATGAAAGCGGATCTTACAAGGAACCAACCATACTCTCCTTTCACTTCAAGAACCTATTCTCTTTAACAAGCCGTATTCATTTGGATTTAATGAGAGTCGAGAATTGGTCAAATTTCAACTGTGTAGTTGAATATGTTGTTGCTTTTATAGCAGAACCTGTTTAGTGCCTCTGTATACGTCCACTGATCATTTTTTCCAACTGTGTCATCTTTAAGTCCTAACGTGGAACATTGGTTTCTTTCCCCTTGTCACGTTTATTGCAAATTTCTATGAATTTTCCTCTAGATATCCTTTTTTTGGTATGATATTTATTCGTCGGCCTGACTTCTTTTTCTAGTGACTCTTCTGAACAAACTTCTTCTGCTGTCTGGCTCAAGCCCCATACTAAATCTTACTGGTAACTGACAACGCGAAAGCTGTTGAGGTTTAGGCATTGGCCAACTCACGTGTCACGGCAGTGAATCCTCCTGTTCCCCCATTAGTCAAGAAATTGTAGTTAAATTTTCGATTTTTCTCCTACTTTGAGGTATAAAACAGCCTAAACTGTCTCCACAGTTAATGAGACGTGGCTCATTAGCTTAAGCACTTGAATTCCAACCAAGAGGATCCGGACTTCAATCTCGTCCCACCTACTTCAACATTGCTCATTAGGCATTATCATCAACCCTCACACAATAAGCGTGACTCAAAGCTCGGCAAAGAATTAACCGAGCTGTGCCCACCAATCAATGTTGATTCTGAATTGGACACCTTTAGGGAATAGGAACGAGAAATGTTTTTTTTTCGACCTTGGTGGTCTTGCTCCCTAACCTCGCCTGGTTTACCATTGGATAGTAAGTCTGGAGAGAAAAAATAAGAAAATTAGATTTTGGCGCTTAAAACCTGAGCATCTTTACTGGAAATTCAAAGCCTGAATCCCCACATTCCACTCAGAATGCAAAGAAATGAGGAAAAATTACAGGAATAAGATATTTCCCGTATATTCACCGTTATCAAAATGGAGATTTCATTCCACACAATATCTTGGTTAATCCACTAAAGACATCAAAATAGTCTTTGAAGGTGTAAGTAGATAAATACGGGCGAATTTTCTTCATATTCTTAGCGTGGACTAGAGAAAAAGTCGTTGAGAAGTGGAATTAACTTCATCTTTAACGAATCCAAATCGCCCATCAGCCTTAATGTGAGATCACTGTGGGTTCTACAGTGAATCAGCTTTCTTCTTACGAATTTCCTGAACTTTACTATAATCCCTCTCGTAATATTTCTGTTGTGTTTTAATTGCAATCATCCATTTTCTTAAAATATCTTGAACTATCTGCGAACAATAGGCTCATTTTAGAGGCTTACTCCTCGTTATCGATTAGAAATAACATGGGACACTTATCCCTTCCCAGTTTCATACAATTATCGCCATTTATGAATTTGAACAAAGTAAAAACAGTGGTTTGTGAAGAATAAGGCAGTACCATCGTTTATTTTGTCAGCTTCTCATCAGCCACCTACAACACGAGGAAAGTAGTCAGGTTTATGTGCAGAGCATTTTTAACGCTCAGAAATAAAGATTTAGATGCAATGGAAAAAAGTTAAAAGATTCTATGATGAGCTGGCATCAATTAGAGAACCATTGGAAAACCAAGTGGGAGTACTGGACAGCTGCATTGTCCTTGTTTCGGACTCTTCAACAGCACTCATCCACTGGGATTAGAAGTTAGAATTCACTGGCCATTCGATCGGATCCCAGTAGCTCAACGGTCTACGAGCTCGCCTTGTAATCAGAAGGTCCTGGGTTCGAATCTTGGTGGGTCCCAAACTAGGACGAAACAGCTGTACAGTACTCCCAGGTTTTCCAGTGGTTCTGTAAGTAACCGATGTCAGCTCATGATGGAATCCTCCAGCCAACCAAACAAAATCCCTGCAAAACCAATACATAAAAAAGTTGTGCAATAAAAACAAGAGGTAGATAAAATGACAAGTAACAAAAAAGCTAAATGACAATGTGGTGACTTTAACTGAAATCATAGATAAACAGAATTACTTTATTTCGACTGAACAACAGGTAAGAAGTATCTAGTGTCATGCCTCTAATCCGTTGTTTGGTGCAGACTGAATTCTATCAGTCAAGTTTGCAATACAGCCACCAGTAGGCTAGGTGGCTCGCCATCACGTTACCATGGAAATTGTTGCTATTAGGTTGTCGGAGGCAATTGATAGGAAGCCTTGGAATTAGGTTTCGCGCTTCTTGGAGCTCACCAGTCAGCAAGGCGTATCTACAATCTTGAAGGAGCCCTCTGAGATTCAGACCTGTATAACCCAGTGCTGCCTGTAGTCAGAGACGTTGCCATTGAGCTATTCGGGCTCGCCACTGACCTCCTGTAGGACTATGCATTGGATACTTTGATTGGAAACTGTTTAGTAACTAGTGTCATCCGTCTACTCCTTGGTTTAGTACAGACTAAATTCTATCAGTCAAGTAACAGGGGTGAAACACAAAGATTGCGTAATCAAATAAAAGGAGAGTGTGAAGACATCCTGGTAGCTAGGCCAAGACAGACTGATTACTGCCTCTTTCTGAATACATCATTAGAGTTTCAAGGGCTCCAAAGCAACAGCTTCAGCAAACTTGAGGTGAAGCGAACTACATTACATATTAATAATTTATATGATTTTATTGTGTCCACCTTAAAACCTGTATCAACGAGATACCTGATTATAGCACTCCTGAAGTCGTAGACTGTCAGGTATTTGTTCAGAAAATCGAGGATATAGCTACCAACGTAGATACATGTAGATTTCTATACACAATTGAAGCTAACATAAAAAGGATATCTGTCGACCAATGATTACGCCAAAAGGCATATCATTCGATACAGGATAGATTGCAGCTAGGGAAGAATTAAATATACCGTTGACTAGTTGATTGACTAATGTACTTAGAGGGGGAAGTGTAAAATAAAGTGTAAACACCCACCAGGCCCTGGAATGGAGTTCAAATCAGAAACCTCAAGTTGGGCGCTGATCTGAGAGTGAAATGGAGGAGATGGTGAGAGAAGGAGATGACATCCTATGGTAAATCGTGACACCAGGTAAAAAAGAAGACTGCAGACGGTGGAATGAAATGGAGATGTGCTGCTGAAGACTTTTATTCCACTTGGAACCATCCTAGAACACTGGTCATTTAGAACAAGATATACAAGCGAACAATATGGTTTTACTTAGATCTTATTCAGGTTTTACTCCAACTTAGACAGCTTTATATATAGAAAAAATTAACCAATGATGGTGAGTTTGTGGATCAAATTATAACAATAATAAGTGTCGAATGTTTTGAACATCAGTAATAACGATGATTGTAACATTTACAAAGTAATGTTAATAACGTTTATGTAATTGGCTATAAGGATAACAAAGGTAGTAATATGTGTATATGTAGACAATTCAATAAATAAATAAATTAGGTCGAACCTCAAGTTTCGCACTACTATAGACGAAGTGGACAGATAATGAAGGTCTAAATAAATATCACACGAGAACGAAGGAAATTAAAAATGAGAAAGGATGGGAGGTTTCTCCCAACTAGAATTTACCTAGTCCATTGGATAGAGACACACAAGTAGAACAAACTGCTTTTGTCCTATGCAAAGACTACGATTGCTCTCTCGAATTAATTCCTATCACTTCAGATATGTGTTTAACAAACGAGTTAGAATTCCATCCGAAAGGTTCAACTGAATACCGGTAGATAACCGTGAAGGCACTTCTCATGTCTACTTGATGACCACTATTCACCAATCAAATGAGACAAATTAGAACCTCTTATAGATTTTACTTGGTCCTTTCCGAACCATGAAGGAAGATGCTCGCTCAGTAATACGTTTGTTGATTTGTCTAGTTTTTCTCCGTGTATAACTCTCTGCTCACAAGCAGTTAAATTTGTAAATACACATACAGGTGGCACCGCTAGACAAGCAATCACAACTGATCGGTTGGTGCGTCGGTGGCTCAGCAATTAGGACTCTCGCCGACCATGCACATACTCAGGGTTTCGACCCCCTGCCGACGACGCACTCCTGATATCTATGGTCGGCCTGCGAAATTTGGGCTACCGATATCCATGCTGAAAATTCCATACCTGTACCAAAAAAATACGGTGTGGAATCAAGCTGTAATCAAAAAATATCTCAATGTTTAACTAATGTATTTAAGAAAGATGGTTAGATGGCGAAAGCGTAAACACACTTAGTACTAATTAGTGTCATATCAACTGGCGTGTTTGAATCTGTGGGTGGGTGGGTGATTGGGTGTAGTTTTTCACTATCCCATTTAGATTTTTCTCCATGAACTAACTGTAGATAACCATTAAAGGTAATTTAGAAAGCATTACAGGGAACAGGTTATTACTAACATAAAAAGAAACCGAAGTAGAAGAAAGCACATCCTCTTCCGAAAAGAAACGAACAAATTACCCATTAAGAGAATAAAACTCTCATAAATCTTTCTGACATTGACAAACATTCACCGCATCAGATGATGCTTGTAGTAAGCTGAATAACATGTATGTTGTCACTCCCATTTATTCTTATATATACCTATATATGTGTAAATATTTATTCGTTCCGTTTGCTTACTAACTATTTCATTCCTGTAATTATACGCATTCTTCGTTTTGTTTTTCTCTCTTTCCCCCACTCGCTCTCCCTCTCCGTTTTCTTTTTGTCACACGCACACACACCCGTCCCCTCTCCTCTCTCTCTCGCATTTCTTAGGTCAGCTTCGATTTACAATTTGTACTGAAAACACTAATGACTCTATGTCCTGCAAAAGCCTTGCTGATCTTCATTACAACAATATGGGTGATATTCAGTTGGACGTTAAGAGCATGTGAACTGTAAGTTGACAGAGTAAACGCTGTGTACGTGTGTTTGTTTGTTTTCTGTTTTTGTGTAATTATTATTTTGACAATTTTACAAAATTAGTATGAAACAGAACAGGTAAGTGACAGTGTTTATTGTTTTGGTTGTGATTGTGGTTTTGCTAATTGATGATTCTGGTTTGTTTTGTATATATATTCATAATGGATTTTTGGAAATTTTCGGTTAGGTCATGGACGTTTTTTCTTGTTGTTGAAGTTTTCCTGTGGATTTCATCTTGATAAGAAAAAGGGTGTCTTTGTTTCTCCAACAGTCCTTCTCCCTACCTCCCTCCCTGCCCACCCAATTCTGGCCCCAATCGTTTCAATTAAGCAGTAATTATTGCCGGTTGAATTAATGTTTAATGTGAAGTGCATTCATCATTGACCCTTTGCCATTTTTAACATCATTATTTCATACAACTGGTTCCCTTGATAAATTTCGATAAAGAAAGGAAGACGAAATTTGCAGTATAAAATCATATCATCATTCTATTTCACAGGTTCTCATCAGCTGCAGACTACCTGAAATTACAATGGTTATATAAATGATAATAACATACTTTAATGTTTGAGTAATAGTAGAGAAGAGATAAAATTGACGCATCCAAAAAAGAATGAAAGCATTACAATTTTTAGTTGAAGTTATCATCATCAATTTATACACTTTCAAAGTTGAGAAGAGAGGGGAGGGGTAAGACAGAAAACAGAAAAATTGATTAACAGAAACAGTGTTAGCTTGTAGGTTCACATGGCAACTCCAAAAAACAAAAGCAATTACAGTTTATAAGATTGAGATTTGTTCAGTGAGTTGAGATCACTGAATTAGATGACTAATCGAAAATCAAAATTCAGTTACCAAGGCAGTGAGAGGTTAATCACACTCTCTTTCTGTATGCATAAGTCTGGTTGGTTTGAATCGTTTGTTTGGGATCGCTTCGGCAAATCGTAGTAAATTTGCTGTCCTTTGTCTATTTAATATTTTGAAGGACTTAGAAATCTCTACGAGATGTCCGGTATCAACAATATGTCTGGTAATTGCACTCCGAGAATATTTGATTCCTTTCAGACATAGGTTTCTTGGAACATGTTCAGAAAACCGGATAGAAGTCCTTCTTTCTGTCCTTCCAATGTACTTGCTCCCGCAAGTGCACGTAAATTCATAAACGCAGTTGGAGGTGACATCAGCAGGGTATTTATCCAGTTTTGAGTGGATCATGTAAGGAGTGGTGTTGTATACTGTTATGAGTTTCGCTGCCGGGAAGCTTCTATTTATTGCTCCTTTCAGTCTTCTGTCAATCTTTTGTGAAACTGCATCTCCTTTGAATGGAAGACAAATAAACACTTTTTTCTTTTCTACAGTTGGATGCTTTTCTTTCTTATCTTTTTCTCTGCTATACTTCTGTATAAATCCTTTAGGGTATCCGTTTTCCCTCAGGCATTTCTCGACGAAGTCTAGTTCTTCTTCGACCTTGTTTGGTGAACATAGCTTCCTGGCTCTGTCGTACAAAGTCCTCACTAATCCACGTTTATAGCTTATGGGACAAAAGCTGTTATAGTGAAGATATTGTCCAGTCCAGGTTTCTTTTCAATAGATGGACTTTTCAATCATGCCTTCGTTTGTTCTTTTTACATTTAGATCCAGGAAATTGAAATAGAATGATATCATTTTATACTGCAAATTTGGTCTTCCTTTCTTTATCGAAACATCATTATTATTAGTAGAAGAATTCGTAGTACTTGCTTGGTATATTCAGCAACCTTTATTACAGAAAAATCGACGGTATTCCTGATGTATGTAAGTATAAAACTTGGGCACTGTGGTAGAGTGTAACTCCATTATGGATAAGATTTTATTTTGATAAAGTGTCACACAGTGTTACACAGTAATATTAACTGACATATTTATGGACAGTCGGGAAAATTTTGCTCTAAATACACTTAGTCCTACTCCAAAAATATGGTGGAGATATGCGGATGACACTTTCCCAGTGTTAAAAACAGAAAAAATCTCTCTCTAGCTTCTTGACACATGTTAACTCACTAGTAGAGGGAATAAAATTCACATTTGAATCGGAAGATGAACAAGGAGAATTAGCTATGTTAGATTGTAAAATAAAACGAATAGAAGAAGGTTAACTGCACACTAGTGTGTATAGAAAACCAACGCATTCTAATAGATATTTAGATTTTAATTCGGCTCATCCGTTAGCAGTTAAGGCAGGCTTAGTTAAATTTCTATCAAACCGAGCCATAGCAATAAGTAGCACAAAAGAAGACCTAAATGATGAAATAAAACAGATAGAAGAGGCGTTGGAAGATAACTAAATACCAAAAACAAAATAAAAATAATTCTGGAACCAGTAATGATAACATAAATAAGAGAGAATATAAGTCATCTGCTGTAATACCATATAAGGAGGGGACATCTGAAACTCTCCCTACGTAGGAATCCTAATAGGGCAGGAATTAGGGTGGCATTCAAACCTTCAAAATCACTCAGGGATAACCTCTGTAGGTTAAAGGACACTACTGACCCAATTAAACAAAATAATATAATTTACAAAATACCCTGCAATGACTGTGAAGTCAATTACATAGGTCAGACTAGTAGGTCGGGGGTAGTCCGATTATCAGAACATAAGAATTCAGCTAAAGGAAGAATGATTGACCCTGAAAAGATAAGTAATTTAGAAAGAAGCTCAGCAATTTCCCTTCACGCATTAACAAACAACCACACAATAGGGTGGGATAGGGTTAAAATTCTAAAGAGTAACATAGGTAGGTGGAGAGAGAGGTTAATTACGGAATCCTTGTTCATTGAGTCTACATCCAATACATGCAACAGAAATGACTCAATGCAAATACCAGAAATATGGAAGATATTATTACCGCCGGTCAAATCAGAAGAGGATAATAAATAATCTTAATATTCTATTTCAATTCACTTACGTCACAACATTCTACCAAGTAACTTATTATAACTATAGAAACACTCGTCTTATTTCCCATCAGATTGTATTTCATCAATAACACTCATATTATTATTTCTGAATGTACATTATCCCATATTGATTTTTATTCAAATATCTAATCGATTCCACACATGTATATAAATGAAGGAAAGAAGTTGTGTGAGTAACTTGATATGATTATGAGTGGCAATAGTTTGTGCTCGAAACGTCATCAGTTAATACTACTGTACAACACTGTGTGATTTATCAAAATAAAATCTTATCGACGTTATTCCGTTGGGTTCTCCGTTTGGTCCAATTTTGGCAGATTTCTTTCTTGTTAAGCTTGAAAATGGTTCATTGAAACAAGTAATAAGATAACATGGATTTCATACATTTCGTTTCCTTGTTAAATTTCGACAGAGAAAGAAACACCAGATTTGCAGTATAAAATGATATCACCACCGTTCTATTTCACAGGTTCTCATCAGCTGCTGCAGTTTACCTGAAATTACAATGGTTGTGAATAATAACATTTCATATTTGTAATGTTTGAAAGGAAATAGAGAAAACATTATAAGCGGAACGCACTCAAAATATAAGCATTACAATTTTTAGTTTACGTTACCATCAAACTATTAAAAAGGGGGTGGGGTTGAGACAAGACAGAAAACAGAAAAACGTAATAAACAGTGTTAGCTTGTACGTCAACATGGTAACTGAAGAAGGTTAAAGTTCATCAAACTGAAAACTTGCTTAGTGAGCTGAGCTCACTTGCTGTCACAGTAGCTAAGTACATTAGAAGGACAGAAAAAGGACGTCTATCCAGTTTTCAGATCATATTCCAAGAAAATTTTGCTTAAAAGGAAGCAGATATTTACAAAGTGCACTTACCAGACACCCACCCTGGGGATAAGGGTCATTTTGTCGAGATTTCCAAATCCTTCAAAAATATTAAACATACGAAGGACAGCGAATCTACTACGATTTGCTGAAGCCATTAAATGTTTCAAACCAAACTTATGCACACAGAAAGAGAGTATAGTCAATCTCTCACTCCCTTGATAACCGTATTAGTTTTATTACACTGATTAGTCACACGCACACACACTGGTAAACTCAGCTCACTAAACAAGTTTTCAATTTCATGAACTTTAACCTTCTTGAGTTGCTCTTTAGACGTAGAAGCTAACACTGTTTATTAAATTTTTCTATTTTCTGTCTTCTCTGACCCCTCTCCTTTTCTCATACTTTGAAAGCATATAAGCTGATGGTAACGGAAACTAAAAATTGTAGTCGGTGGCACAGTGGTTAGGACTCTCGCCGACCATGCACATGGTCCGGGGTTCGATCCCCTGCTGGCGCACACCCGATATCTATGGTCGGCCTGAATTTGGGCTACCGATATCCATGCTGAAAATCCCACACTTGTACTGAACATACGATGTGGAATCAAGCTGTAAATCAAAATCAAAAAAATAAAGGTTTTTGTATTTCCCAATGAATGAAAAACAAAGCGATATGGTTTTTACTGACGTTTCGCTATTTAATGCTGCTAATAGCTTTATCAAAGTATTATTTAACCGGAAGCAAGTTCACTATGCGTTTTCGGCCATGGACATCAACAGTCGTCATTCCATATAGAGAAGAGACGTCAGACGATATCAGAAGAGTACTCAATCAGCTCGATATTAGAGTTTTCTTCAAAACATCAGACACACTTCAAAGCAACCTTGTCCATATAAAGGACAAAATCTCTAAAGATTCACTATCTAGTTGTGTCTATAAAATAAAATGCTAGGAATGTGATGCGATATACATCGGACAAGTATCTCGAGAAATCAAAATCAGAAGAAATGAACACCGTAGAGCATCTCTTCGACCACCGAAGAATCCTGTTGAACTACACAGACTTGAAAAATCATCAGCCATAGGTCTACATGCTATAGAATCAGGCCACAAAATTGATTTTGACAATGTTGAAATAATCCAGAAAAACTTCAGAAATCACAAAGAACGTTTAAC